CGCCGGTATATGCACGCACACGCGCCAATACACGCATTCACGCACGCCGGTATATGCACGCAAACATGTAAGCGTACACGCACACGCCCGTATTCGCCTATGATACACTGCTAACCTTAAATTAACACACACATACATACACCACACTCAAACACGCGCGCGCACACGCGGCACGCACACACGTATACGCACACACGCATACGCACACTCACGCAAATGCGCGCACGACGTTACGGGAATACATTCTAATCAGGGAATTAGTGAAAATGGGAGTATACATTGAGGAAAAGTAATAAAATAGAGACTTTCCATAATGTGTTATTCACAATTTAAAAAATTACAGAAAATCATTGTGTAAATGACTCATGTTAGCATTGAAGTTGATTAGAGATAATGAAAGTCCGCGATGCTTTCATCCTATTTGATTTACGTGTTAGATGGAACATGCAGCAAGCGAGCGCGTGCGTGTCTGCTTGGGGGTGCGTAGATATGCCTACACGCTACTTGTGTTCGTGTGCACGCGTGTAATTATGTTTGCATGTGTACGTGCGTATGTGTGCGCGTGCGTGAGCGAGCAAGTTAGTGTGCGTGTGCGCGTATATAACGTGATCGTGTCTGAGTGTGTGCATGCGCGTGCTGTGTGTTCGCATGCACTATAGTGTGTTGTGTGCGTGTGCGCGTGTGTGTCTGTGAATGCCTATTGTTTAGCAATTGTTTGTGGAAAAACTGAAACCCGAATCAATTGAACAAACTCTACGCTGTCCGGGCGAGGTTTGTGTGCCTTCGGTAAATATTTTCAAACCTATGGCGGCAGCGATCATTGGCGCTGCCACCGAAAACATTTGCGAGAAAAATTCGCGCATTGTCGAAACGGGCGTTTCGAGAGAAAGAAAATATTACGTACGCAAGAGCTCAGATGTAACCAATGAATGCGTGCGCGCGTGTAGCTGGGTGTTCGTACGCGCGTGTAGCTGGTTGTTCGTGCGCGCGCGTACGTGCGTGCGTACATTCGTACATGCGTGCGTGAGTGTGTACACGCATGTGGTGAGGGATGCGAAATGCAATTCGCTGTGTTGACAGCCGTGCAGGCATCTTGAAGGGCGGGTGTATATCCGTGGCGACCGTATATCGGTGCTGCCAGTACGGGCTCAACGACATTTGCTACGTTTTCGATGTATCAACATCGTTTCTCGACGAATGGAACCGCACGCGCGGGTGCGTATAACGCGTGCGTGATGGCGCCCCGCTGCATGCATGACAAATCGCGCCTTTTAATTTTCTTATGCCCGCATATTGGCAAAACGCGATATGTATCGCGACGTCATCAAGTGAGATGGCTGATGTGTGTGTGTGTTGTGTGTGTGTGTGTGTGTGTGTGTGTGTGTTGTGTGTTGTTGTGTTGTGTGTCGTGTGTGTGTGTGTGTGTGTGTGTGTATGTGTGGGTGGTGTGGGTCGTGTGGTGTGGTGTTGTGTGTGTGTGTTGTGGGTGTGTGTGATCGTGTGTGTAGTGTGTGGTGGGTGTGTGTTGTGTGTGTGTGTGTGTGTGTGTGTGTGTGGTGGTGCAGTGCGGTGCGTGCCGTGCGTGCGTGCGTGTGAATGCGTGTGCCGTCTTACCTGGCGCGTGCTAGGTGTAATGTGTATGTTTCACCCCCGCGTGCACGAATGTTAAAACGCACCGCTTTCCCGTTGTCAATGTTTTCAGATGGTGCAAAACGATTAGACAAGTTGCTGCGTTTTCACCGCTGGAACTTAGAAAAGGTAGGAAACACTTCCGCGTTGTTTGCTGCTGCCCTCGTTTTTCCTGCCTCTTCTTCTTCTTTCTTCTTCTCTTTAATTTTCACCATGATTATCATTATATTTATTTATTCATCAATCATTTATCATTATCACTCGTCATTAGTCAATCTCATCATTCATTTACATCATTCATCAATCATCAGTCATCTCACCATTTTCTCATCACATTCCATCCATCATCATCAAATTTGTATTCTTCTTCTTCTTCTTTATTCTTCCTCGCGGTTAATCAAAAACGGACGACTTTCTATGCGTTTACTGCGCTGGAAAAATAATTACGTCCCGCCCGCTCCCTCTCCTGTGTGATTCAGTGCGTTTAATTACATAGCGTTGGTTGTGGCAAATGCGCTATAATGAGTCGAAACATTTTATGGGTGGTGCCGCTGGTTTTGTTCTCGCCATCATGTGTATTTGTCTGTGCTTCTCGCATAGACCGAGGAGTCAATTGGAACAAAAAAGGAACGATTCGACGACGAGGAGACGATTAGAGAAAAATAGAACGAGACAGGGAGGGAGCGAGTGAAAAGAGAGGGAAGAATGTAGGCGCGCCCAGAGACGAGAGAAGCGAGAGAGAGTGTGGGAAGAAGGGAGGGGAGGGAGGCAAGGGTAGGGAGGGAGACAGGAGAAATAGATAGAGCAGATAGATGAGAGAGAGAGGAGAGAGAGAGAGAGAGAAGAGAGAGAGAGAGACGCAGAGCGAGGAGAGAGAGAGAGAGATGAGAGAGCGAGAGATGAGGAGAGAGAGAGAGAGAGAGGGAGAAGAGTAGAGAGAGAGAGAGCGAGAGGAGAGAGAGGACGACGAGAGAAGAGAGAGAGAGAGAGAGCGCGCGCGCGCGTGCGTCATGACGCGGCATGGCCTTTCTTATACGGTCTCGCTGTCTCTCTCCATGCCTCTACGGGCTAACATAATTATTGCTGTAATCAGAACGGATCTTAATAGTAATCAAAAACCATCTCAGAAAATACGATCTCGAGCCGTCTCGAGCGGGCACACACACACGCACGCACGCATGCACGCACGTACGCACACACGCACACACACCCGCACACATACACACACATACACGTACACGCACACGCACACACACACGCACACACACACGCACACATACGCACGCACGCACGCACGCACACACACACAACGTCGAGCGGCGCAATTTTCTTGAGAATGTTTCGTATTTAACACTGCACAAACGCGCGTAATTAGATAAATAGATTTATCGGTGCGGCGATCAATACGCACGCGGGCAGCCCGCCATTATGCTAACGCAAGACGAGACGAGCTAAGAATGCCAAACAAATGACATGATTTAAATTAGCTGTCACGGCCGCGTGCATGCGCGTGCATGCGTGTGCGCGCGCGCAGGCTCGCGCTCCGATTCGCCCGCCCTCGCGTTTCTCGCGATCTCGGAGATGTGCGCAGATCGCGGAGGCTGAGCTCGCCTCGTCGCTGGTGTGTGCTGGCTTCACTCGCTGTCCTCTTCATCGCGATGCATGATGATTCTTGTCGAGAGAGATATGTACCGTCCCCCATATCGATCCCCACGCCCCCTATAAGTACAAGGTGGTAGGCTGACACCCTCGGCGAATAATGACGAGTATTAGAGCGTGTTATTAAGAGAATCTTCGCTAAGACACATGTGTAGGTGGCAAGGATTATAAGCGTGCAGATATAGGGTCGGGGTAGAATTCGGAGCCGTCTTACTCAACGAGTAGTGTCCGTCCATGGCTGATGACCGAACATTATCGTTCAGGATTTCTCGTTTCAGGCAAAGGGCTGCAATTATAAATCCATATAATATATACTAGTATATATTGCGTGATAATACAATCTTCCGGTTACATGCATGCAATTAATACTTGCCACCAGTGTATAGTGCGATCGCAGGATATATATTATATTATTTACTATAAGAAAATTAAAGATTAGATTACTCTGGCAAAATTAAATCTCTCAAGTGGCATTTTGGTCTGGTTAATCACCTATATATCAGTAGTACGTATATATAGGTGTATATTATATATATATGATATGTATACTATAGCTGTTCATTACGACTATTCATGCCGAATTTCCAATACACTAGGCCGACAGAGTGAGAGTCTTAGACGCGTCCGTTTATTCGGTATAGCAGATTTGAGCTCAAAACAGCAGAAGTTCACCAAGGAAGTCTTCTCTGCCGGGTGGGCCCGAACGGTTAGATACTCCTCGCTTTGGTCTACTGTCTTCTATGGGTTAAACAATAACACAAGCTACTATTCCCGATAGTCGTTAGTAATATATCACACGGTGCCGAGTCCATAGTCATAAGTAGTATCACTTGCACATGATGGAGTTCTTATATATATATATATACTGAGGGCGGTATATAACGACATATGACGCCAGTCTATTAACCGTCCCGCGGTACACAGCAACAGCACAGCTGGCATGGTACCACCGCGCGTCGTTTTGATGGACACTCGTCGTAAATAGTATAGGAGGCAGAGCGACAGCGCGTACATCCACCGCGCTACAAGGTTAACCTCGCGCTGCGTACAACGCCCTCGGTAAACCCGGACCCTCCCTCATCCACCACGCTCGCCCTATCACACCACACACACACCACACACACACACACACACAACACACACACACGACACGACACAGCAGCACACACACACATCACGCACACAGCAACAGACACACACATCACACACACATCACACACAGCCAGCACAGCAACAGACGCACCCACACACAGACACAGCACACACACACGACACACACCACACCACACACACACCGACGCAATCCGCCCCGCACGGTGCCGCGCGAGCTGGGCTGTCCTCGAGCTTCCTCTCCCGTTGCTCCCCTCCTCATACGCGCAGGACTCTCTCCACTCTGGGCTCACCCAACTTCGCGGGGGTCCGAATACTCCTCTGAAACCTTGGGGGGGAGGATTGCAGATAGCGGGAGCGTTTAAGGCTTAGCTTGTACAGCCGCATGGCTTCCCAGGTGTATATACGTATATATACGTGTGTACGTGCTAGTACTATAGCTAGGCTGGCGGTGGCCCGACGGCGCTCTAATGCCGTAATAATGACACCTCGTTAATGGCGAAAGTGCTTACGGCTTTGGCGCTGTTTGTTAATGCAAATACCCAATTGACACGCTGCTGCATGAGAGAGGAAGAGAGAGAGAGAGAGAGAGAGAGAGAGAGAGAGAGAGAGAGAGAGAGAGAGAGAGAGAGAGAGAGAGAGAGAGAGAGAGAGAGAGAGAGAGAGAGAGAGAGAGAGAGAGANTATATATAGCTTTCATTACGACATTCATGCCGAATTTCCAATACATCAAGCCTAGAAGTGAAGTCTTATACGCCTATCGGTATATGCAGATTTAGCTCAAACAGCAGGAATTACTCAAGAATTTCTCTGCCGGGTGGGCCGAACGGTAGATACCTCCCGCTTCTACCTGTTTCTATGGTTAAAAATAACAAATATATATATATATATACACACGTATATATATATATATATAATGCACATATATANGTGTGTGTGTGTGTGTGTGTGTGTGTGTGTGGTGTGATGTGATGTTGTGTGGTGTGGTGTGTGTGTGTGTGTCTCTCTCCCACGCACACACACAACAATCCCTCACTGTGGACTGCACTCACTGTCTCTTCCATTTCATTTTATTGTGTGCGTAATAGTAATGTACGTAAGCGGTTCGCTGTGAATTATCACGCGTGGGCGCCTTCGCTATTGTGCTAAATTATACCTGTCCAACATTTATGATGAAATGATATGATTGGTTGCATCTCAGCATGCTGCTCCTTCGTTTTTTTCCTGCATAATTACCTTGCAGATCTCAGCGAAGTTGAGTCAGGTGAAATACGACCATGTATAAATGTCCAGCAGCCTTGTATATAAATTGACGTTGAAGCTAAGTTACTAATTGCCGACTTGAATACAATTAGCTGCTGAATTTAATTCGTGTTCTCTTGATGGAAGTCTCCGCGACGTGTTGTACATGATAATGACACACAGGGGGCGCTTCGGCTTGTCAGAATGTGATGTGTGCAAATGCAACGCGTATATTCTACCTCGTCGTTATTACTCGAATATTTCTGACCCATTTTATCGTAAACGTGACCCTAGTTTAATCGTAGTTTGAGCGCGTTCGTTGAAGACCAACGCTTGAAAGAAAATCCACTGGCAAATAGGCGTCCCGTGATACCGGCACACACACCGTGTTAAACTCACGGCTAATGTCGTTGTCGGTTGACTGACTAGGTTGGCTCGCCACACTCGTACGCGCCGCCGTGACTGCTTGTTGATCTAACTCTTTGTTCGTCGGCAGATTGCTAGCTTTACTAAACACTCTAACGTCGGCCGATGCTATTGCGACCGTGGTCTGCGAGCACGGTGGCAGCACACGTGCAGTCTGTTCTGTTCCTAGCTCTGCGGGTGTTGTTGCAGTGCGGATGGCATATATACAATCTTTTGTGTTGTTGTATTGCTGACACATGCAGATTTCCTATCGCGATATCGTTGCTGGAACACCACTGGTGTGTGTGTGTGTGTGTGTGTGTGTGTGTGTGTGTGTGTGTGTGTGTGTGTGTGTGTGTGTGTG